AAGACCCTCTTTTAAATTACATTGGTCCTATTAACTATTTTACCTGGGGGTCCATGGGATTACATTTTAATAAGCCAATCCATGACTGCTAAAGATTGAGTTTTAATTTATCATTCATTATGTTAGAGCATCTGTCTAATATGGAATGTTTTAGGGCACTGGGTATTATGAAGAGGGGAGATTTAGGCAAGGTGTTCAAGAAAAAAATATTCAGTGACATTTGTTAAAGATGGTAAGGCAAACTTTTCTTGGGGCATTGAGATAGGTGTAGGAATCACTGCAATGGGAATTTACAGCGTGGGTGAGAGCTCGGGCTCTACTCCAACTGAGTACCGCGTAAGTGGAAATCTATAGCCAGGGACCGGAATCTATAGCCAGGTTAATGAATAGAAAATTACTAAGAGGAAACATCTGAGGTAAGGGGGATTCTGGCTAAAATGAACTAACAGGATTCTTACTGAAGACAGATCAGCGGGTGCCTGGGTGGCTCAGTCGGTTAAGTATCTGACCCTTGATTTTGGCTCAGGTCAAACCTCACAGTTTCATGGGTTCAAGCCCTGCATCGGGCTCTGCGCTAGCAGCGTGGAACCTGCTTGAGATTCATTCTCTCCCCGCGCCCCCCTGCCAGTCCTCCACCCATGCTGTCTTTGTCTCAAAATAAATAAACTTAAAAACAAAAGACAGGGGGACCTGGGTGAATCAGTTGGTTAAGCAACTGACTTCAGCTCAGGTCATGATCTCACCCCGGTCAGGCTGTGTGCTGACAGCTGGGAGCCTGGAGCCTGCTTCAGATTTTAACTGCCTCTCCCTGCCCTTCCTCTTGCGTGTGTGCGTTCACACCTGTGCTGTCTGTGTGTCTGTCTGTCTCTCTCTCTCTGTCATATAAATAAACATTAAAAATAAATAATAAATAAAGGAGTGATCAGACATCACCTGGGAAATGGTAGAGGATTAGGAACTTGATCAGATATTGAGGGTGATCATGTAATTAAACTGACTTAATTAGGGTTCTTGCTAAAACTAGATTTTACAAGGAAGTGCACAGATAGTCCTAGGACACTGAATGGCAAATGCTAGACACAAATTAATGCACACCATATGATTTGATATGAAGTTCAAAAACAGGCAGAATTACAGTTTTATAAGGCAGAATAGTGCTTCCATTTGGAGAGGAGAAAGGAGTAATTTAGATGAGGCATATGAGTGCTTCGGGTCAAGAAATTCATGATAGTGTACTGTACACTTATAATTCTGAACTTGTTTGTATAATTCAAAATGTTTGAAAAAGGAACTCAACTATAATTTCTAAATGTTGGAAAGGACCAACGAAATGAACATAAAGTGTAGGTAAGGGAGGAATAAAAAAGGTAAAATTTAATGGAAAAAAAAGGTGAGGTTTTTTCAAAAAATAAATAAATAAATAAACTTTGGGCAAAGTCTGATTTAGCACTCCACCTACTCCATCCATCCTATACCTGTAAGACCTAGGGGAGAGGGTCACATCTTTTATGTGAGGGGTTTCTAAGCTGATTCCCCATTGAAGTAGAGCAGTATTTGAAATGTATTCTGAGTTTATTTTGTTTATTTTGTTTGTTTGAATTATGCTAGTGCTTTAGATCAAAAGTTGAATCTCACTTTTTAGGCAAGTCAGATATTAGTTTTCAAGAGTTTTCTGAAAAATGATTGTTTTCCTGTTCTGTCTTTATCTTTCCCAGAGCTAGTCCTAAGTTTGATAAGAAAAATCCTTGGGTGTATGTGTATGTGTTGGGGGAGGCAGAGGATAATATTCCTGATCTGTTCATATTTTTTCCCTAGCACTTATCACCAGCTGATAGAATACAAATTTATGTGTTTATTATCTGCTTGGCCCTTAGAAAGTGATAAAAAATCTAAGGTATGGGGCATTTTCTGTTCACTGCTCTCTCCTCATTGCCTACTGTTATGTTGCAAAGAGAAGGACCTTCAAGATACTTGCATAATGAATGAAGGCATAGGCTGATGTAAGGATTTGAAGGCAACTGGGGCTAGGTGGTTTTGCCAGCTGGATGAACTCAAAGATGTCTGAATTAAATAAACCATTTGTGCTGGGGATCCTCAAGAACACCCTTACGCTCTGCAATGCAGTAGGATGCACAAGACTCCTGCTGTTAAACCCGTTATGGTTTATTACAACCAAACGATACAGATTAGAATCAGCAAAGGGATAAGTAAGACACAGGATTAATTCCAGGACAAACCAGGCACAAGCATCCAGGTGTCTTTTCCCAGTGCAGTCAAATGGGCATTGCTTAATATTCCTAGTAATAATAAATTACCAAGGAAGCTCACCTGATATAGTAGGCTGTTCAGTTGGGCTGTGGTAACAAAAATATAGATTGGGTGGCTTGTCAACAACAGAAGTTGCTCACAGTTCTGAAGGCTGGGAAAACTCAAGATCAAGATTCCAGCAGATGTGGTGTCAGGTTAGGGCCTACTTACTGATTAATGAAGACAGTCTTCTCACTGTGTCATCACATGGCAGAAGGGGCAAGGTAGCTCTTTGGGGTCTCTCACAAAGGCACTAATCCCATAATTACCTCTCAGAGTCTTCACCTCCACAAACTGTCACACTGGGGACTAGGTTTCAATATATGAAGATGCAGGGAGGTGCAAACATTCAGTCTATAGCACCTGAGCTCTGGTGTCCTAAGGTTTTATTGTGGGTCAGTCCTGTAGGCCTACACCACCTGCATGACTGACTTCAGCCACTTAGGCTCCAGCCTGAGTTCAAACTGTTAGAACATTGCCATAAATCATGTTGTTAGCATAAACTATCTGGAATTCACCCAGACTGGTATTGTGTGACCCAAGGCCTCAGGCATACGAAAACATTCTTACCAGGCAGGATAGTCCATGGACGTCTCCCACAAGCCCAGCCTAGAGTAGGTCTGAAGACAGGCCTTTCTCAGGAAAGTGCAGGATTTGAGCAACCCAGACCTGGGTTAATCATTTCTTGCACATCACCTTGTCACGGTCATCCAGGTATGTTAGAGAGTAACAGTAACCTCAGGAGTTCAGGCTTTTGAGGTAGAGTAACCTGTATTCAGACTCTGGCTCTTCCTAATTGGTGATCTTGGGTCAGTGACTACTCCTGTCTCAATGTAGGTTGCCTCGGCTGTTAAATGGCAGTAATAGTAACTATGTTGTAACTATGTTGATAATCCTTTGAGCTACCACTGCTTGTGGCACAGAATAGATACTCCGTAAGTGGCGATTGTTATGTATATTTCTGTAGTATACTACTCTACAGTTTCTAACGGCTTTTATGTAATACAGCTTTATCTTTTGCAGAGAGCTGACTAATGAATAATGCTTCATGATAACTGAGTGATGCCTGTTGCTTAAAGATTGATGGTACGTGGCGAGAATCCACTGGTACTTAAGAGGAATTGAGATTGACCTCTGCTAAATTCAGACACCATCTTGAGGGACTTTGGGAACGAGAAGGGTTTAGTCAGATTTTACTGTCACACCCACAGGATGCCAGCCATTGATCTTTTCTCCTGTGGTAAGTCCTTTTTGATGCTCCTGTCAGGGACTGGTTTAAACTGGCCTGTGAACGGCCTGTCTTGTCAAGGTCTAAGCAGTCCTGTTTCTGTGCTAAGAGAGGGCTTAAGTAGATAAGAACATCCTGATGTCTGAATCCTTAGATTTGGGAAGGAGGGATAAGGATGTGGGAGATGTTCTGCTTAATCAACATGAGATGCTTTTTTTATGTGAGATTCATTATTGTTGGCCAAAGAAAACAACAACTTTGGGGCACCTGGGTGGTTCAACTTCAGCTCAGGTCATAATCTCACGGTTCATGAGTTCAAGCCCCACGTTGGGATTCTCTCTCTCTCCCTCTGTCTGCCCCTGCCCCACTTCTGCTCTCTGTCTCTGTCTCTCTCTCTCTCAAAATAAATAAGTAAACTTAGAAAACAACATCTTTACCTGTCTAAACTTTAAATTTCATTGTCTATAAAATGGGAATATTAAACTCTTCCTCCCAAAGCCCAAACCCTCCTTCTGGTTTCAGATGAGGCAGGCTGCTTAGCCTGTGTGTCAACTCTGGAGTGGCTTCTAGGCTTGTGAGTAGAAACTTTGGGTAGCCTGGGTTCTCAGGTTTTATTTCTTCTTCCTAAGGTCATCTTTTTCAAGATTTTTTCTGTCTTCATGAGGAGAAATCAGAGGGAGAAAGGACAGTGACTAGGTGTCTGACAAATTATTCTCAGGTAAGTAGGAAGTTTATTCTTTTATAAAAGTACATGTTCTTCCTGCCAGATAGACCTGTTTTTTTCTAATAGAACACAGAGTTTCTTTGTGCATATAGGGCCTGCATAGGGACTGAATACCCAGCTAAATTTCCTCAGGTTTCAGGATATTTTATGTGGTTGACAGATGACATAAGGAGATGATACTGTTATCGCAGTATCTACTCATTCAGTCCAACTCTCATTCGTGTTGATTGTGTGCTCTTGTCTTGCTTTGATACTCTATGAGGGAGTGGACATGTGTTTTTCAGAATTTGTGCTGTCCCTGGAGGAATGATTCATTCATTGCCAGCATTTATTGTGTCTGTAATGTACTCAGACCACGGTAAATCCTGTCATTAGAGAAAAATAAGATTAGAAAAGAGTACAGTGTAGCTGTGGTGAGATACCTGCAGTCAGGTGAATGAGGTGCTCTTAAAGCTACATGACTGGATGAGCTCACCAGTGAATATGTCCAGGTAGAGAGGAGAATGGGCACGAGGACCCTCAAGCCCTGGAAGAGATGGGGGGAGAACATGGAAACCTGTCTAAGCTTTGGGTCTCCCATTCTCTTTCTCCAGTGAACATTGGTTTAGATGGCAGTTGCTTGATGCCAGAATGTTTGTGATGGTTTAGGATCTGGTGATCCTTGAGGATGTGGCTGTGGAATTCACCCAGGAGGAGTGCACTTTGCTGGATCCAACTCAGAGAAACCTGTACAGAGATGTGATGCTGGAGAACCACAAGAATCTGGTTGCAGTAGGTAAGGCTGGTACCATTTCTTCATTTAGCTTTTTCTGGAAGAAATCGTTCCTTTTTTTTTTTTTAAAGGTAGGCTCCATGCCCATTGTGGGGCTTAAACTCAAGACCCTGAGATCAAGGGTCGCATGCTGTACCGACTCAGCCAGCCAGGCGCCCCTTGCTTAACTGTGTCCTAGTGTCTGTGCTGACTACTGGCAATGCAGTGCTAAAAAGAGCAGATGTTGTTTCTGCTCTCACTGACCTTACCTTGAAGTGACTTCCTCTTGAAAACGAAGATCTGTTCATTGTACTGGCCTTATTGTCTGTATGGATTGAAAGGCTTAGGACTTAAAAAACTTGTATACAAGTTTGAGCCTGGGTTTTAGGGGAAAGATCGGCACCTTTTTTGGTGAGCAATGAGGAAGTGTGTGCTTGTATTTTAGTTTCATTTGGAAGTTTATTGGTTTGAAAAAAAAAAAGAAAGAAAGTTTATTGGTTTGATAAAGTTAGCACAAACATTTTGTTTCTCAAGTTCTACCTGACCGTATCTGGTGTCCCTGCAGAGCAGAATCTTGATCCTGGTTTGTGGAACTATTTGTCATCCCTTGCATGTTCTTCTCACATCAAGTGTCTTCTTCTGAGAGCCAGGTGCTAGCTATGCAGACCTGTTCTGAATTTCAGGTGGAACAAGAAGGAAAGCTGAGGATAGTGGGAGAAGTTCTGCAAAGTAAGGGAAAAGGGAGATGTGATTCTTTATGAAAAACAGCAGGAATCCATGAGAGCTGCAGTCCATTTGGAAATGTTAAACAGGAAGCTTTTGAAGATGGATTTTTCCTGAGAAGGCTGGTGCCTTTGGTTTCTGAGGTTCCTTGGGTCCTTCAGACTTCTCTTTAACTTTTCATCTACTTTCTGAAACTTCCTTTTGACCTGACAGTAAGATCTATTTCTTCTTTAAATTCTGCATTTAGTTCTTCATTCATTTTCTTTCAACTTTGTTTTCCTGGTTATGTTGCTCTCTGTTCACCATCAGTCTCGACATGTATAGAATCATTTCTTAGAGAGTCACCTACCACTTTGACCAGCACCCTTTTTCATTGCCAAACTCTTAATATAGTCAGACTTTTCAATCTCTATGTGTTCATGTCTTTTTTATTTTGTAATCTATATTAAGTCAGTCTTTGAAAATAAATAGGCATTGGTCTTTATTTTTAACAACTTCTTTCCATCATTTATTCCTCCAAGACCTTAATTTTTTTTTTTTAATCTTGTTTCAGATTGGGAGATTTGTCTTAATACCAAATGGTCAGCACTTCAGCATAATATTTTGCAGGGGAAAACACCCAATGGGTAGAAATGGTAAAATTCACAGTGTGTAATTCCTTGCCTTCCACAACAGTGGAAGTTTGGAAATTCCATAAGATAGAAAAGCAGCACAAAACCATAACAGACACTTGGGGCTAGTGTTATTCATCCTAAATGAAACTGTTTCTCATAGAGTCTCTGAGCATTATGAATTTGACAAGCACTTTAAACACTCCCCAAAATACATTCACACATTGTTTGCTCAATATTTCATATATAGAATTCAGATAAAGTTTTTGAAAAGTAATTTCATCTTGATCAGTTATCAGCTAAATGCTATAAGAATCCCTGTGAAAGTAAGACTACAAAAGGAAAAAAAAGACTACAAAAGAACTTTTTAGCAGAATGGTCTCTTCATTCTGCTTGAAAGCACTTAGGTCTGGAACCATGTGTTGCATACAGTGAAAATGGAAGAGAAAACAAAAACTTTAGTCATACTGATTGGTTTCCTCTATAGCATAACAATTCAAGGCAGAGGAGAGGATCTCTGAATGTAATAAAGCTGGAAAACTTTTATAAGACCTCACCAATCTGTTCATCAACAGGAGAGAAACACATTGGAGAGGAATTGTTTAACCATTGGGAAGAAACCTTGAGTGAACACTGCTGCTTTAAGACTTACAAGAGAGCTCACAATAGAAAGAAAACTTGTGTGATCAGTGTGTAAAAGCCTTTACAAAGAACTCTGCCTTTATCCATACAACAAAACTGATAATGGAGAGAACCCTCCTAACTGTAATCAGTGTGAAACACCTTAAGCCAAAATGCACATCTGGTTCACAAGAAACCTTGTACTCCAAAGAAACCTTATACATGCACTGTCAGAAAGGAATTCCTTCTTCCTCACACCTTAGAGAATATGTAAGAATTCGTAGTGGAGAGAGGCCATATGCCTTTAAGAAATGTGGGAAAGCTATTTATCATTCTACAAGCCTTTTTGTACATGTGCAGATTTGCAATAGAAAAAAAGGTCCTATAAATCTAAGGAATGTGGGAAAACCTTTAGTTGATCTTCATATCTTATTCAACATTTAAGAACTCAAAGTGAATTAATGCCTGTGGAATGTAAGAAATTTGACAAAGCTTTTTCTTGTTCCCTAGATCTTGCTAAACATGTACAATTTTATACTAGAGAGTAACATGTTTGCAAAGAGTGTAGTAAAGAGTTTACTTGTTTATCAGAACTGAATACTCACATGTGAAATCACACTGGAGAAAAACCACAAGTGTAGTAAATGTGAGAAAACCTTCACTGATTCTTCAGGTCTTAAACACAGAGGAACTTACACTGGAGAGAAGCCTTATCAATGTGAGGAATGTGGAGAAGCGTTTGTTAGGTCATCACACTTTACTGTACATATAAGAACTCACACTGGTGAGAAGCCTTATCAATGTAAGGAATGTGGGAAAGAAAGCCTTTAGTAACTCATCTTGCTTTGAAAATCCCATGCAAACTCACCCTGAAATGAAACCCTATGATTGTAAGCAGTGTGGGAAAGCCTTTATTTGATCCTCCTTTCTTATTCAGCATTTAAAAATTCACAGCGTAGAAAGACATTTTGAATGTGAGGAATGTGGGAAATCACTTAGATAACTCCTCATACGTTAGTCAACATGAAAGAACACATACTGGAGAGAAGCCATATGAATGTAAAAAATGTGGGAGAGTCTTCACTATTTCATCAGGCCTTACAGTACATGTGAGAACTCACACTGGTGAACGACCTTTTGAATGTAAGGAATGTGGGAAAGCCTTTACTCAACCCACATATCTTATTTGACATTTAAGAACTCACAGCGGGGAAAAGCCATATATAGATGAGGAATGTGGGGAAACGTTTAGTACTTCATGCCTTACTAAACGCATAAGAATTCACACTTGAGAGAAGCTTATGCTTGCAGAGAATGTGGGAAAGCCTTAAATACTTTCTCTTTTTAACTTGTACTAATTCATTATAAAGGTAACCTTATTATGAGGAATGTAGGAAGCCTTTAGCTCTGTCTTGTATTTTACTGTTCAGCTATGATTTCACAGTTCTGAAAAATCTTATAAATGTAAGAAGGGTAGGGGTTTTTTGTTTTGTTTTGTTTTTTTGTTTTGTTTTTTGTTTTTTAGTTTTATCCTTCATTTGGGGGAAATATGAAAGCACACATTTGGTTTGAAAATGTGTGCACATATTTGAAAGCACACATAGGATTTGAAGAGATCCTATGACTGAAAGAGATATAGGAATGTCTTTGATCTTTGTTATTAGGAAACACAACTCACACTGGACAGGAATGGTAAATTATAAATGTAGGGAATGTGGAAAAAGGCTTTGTTAATTTTATTTTACACGTAGTAAGTCATGTTAGATTATGAATGTAAAAGCAATACTTTCAGTAAATAACTTACATATATTTTTATAAAAATTGAAATCCTAAAAGGGTTTTTAAAATGAAAAGCCTTTGCTACAAAGGGTTTTTAAACAAAATCTAAAAGTATAAAAATTTTCACTTACTGCATATAAGAAAATTGATACTTGAAAAGAAAACCAAGAAAAGCATTTTTATTTAAATGAGTTGCCTTTCTGTGTGTGTCTTTTTTTCAAAGTAGACCCACAGTTTTAAAGACTAATGATGTTGAACATCTTTTCATGTACTTATCATCCATTTATTGTTGATGGAGTGTATGTTCAATATCTTTTTTCTCGTTAGAGTCTTTGGTTATTATTAAGTTTGGTTTTCTTAACAGGTTTATTGAGGTATAATTGCCATGCAACAGATTGCACATATTTTAAGTGTACAGTTTAAGTTTTAATGCATGCACATATCCATAAAACCATCAGTTGTTTTCCTGTACACTAACAATGAACAAATAGAATTTGAAATTGCAAACACAATACTGTTCACACAACAAAATATGTACTAGATCTCTCTAGATCTAGAGGAATACTGCAAAATTCTGATGAACAAAATCAAAGAACTTAATGAATGGAGAGATATTTAATGTTCATGGATATACTCAGTAATTGTCAAGGTGTTAGTTCTTCCCAATCTCACTAATGGGTTCAATCCAGACAAAATTCCAGCAACTTATTTTGTGGGTATTGACAAGCTGATTCTGATGTTTATATGAAGAAGCAAAAGACCCAGAATAGCTAACACAGCATTGAAAGAGAAGAACAAAGTTGGAGGACTGAAACTGCCTGCCTTCAAGACTTACTATAAACCTTGGGGCAGCTGGCTGCCTCACTAAGAAGAATGTGATCTTGGGGTCATGAGTTTGAGCCCCACATTGGGTGTAGAGATTACTTAAGATTAAAAAACTAGATTTACTATAAATCTACATTAATTAAAACAGTGTGGTATTGATAAAAGAATAGATCAATGGAACAGAACAGAGAGCTCAAATAGGCCACATAAATAGTCAACTGATCTCTGACAGAGGAGCAAAGGCAGTGGAATGGAGTAAAGATAATTCTTTCCAACATATGGTGCTGGAACAACCAGAAATCCACATGCAAAACCATGAACCTTTACAGTCTATATTTATAAAGATTAATTCAAGATGCATTATAGACCTAAGTAGAAAACACAAAACTATGAACTGCTAGAAGATAACATAGGAGAAAACCTGGATGTCCTTGGGTGTGGCAATCCTTTTAAAATATAACACCA